ATACATTGTTTGGATATTTTAAAATACTATGTATTTAAAATTGAATTTCTCTATTAAATTAAATCTTCTTCTAATTATTATTTAAATTTAATAAAATCAAAATTAACAATTTTAATCTTTCAAAATATTATTTAAAATATCTCAATATAAACAAATTAGATAAGAAAAAAAAAAAAAGAAACAATGACCTCCACTAACATACCATTCATGTATTTAGAACAATGACAGTTAGCAACTGAGAAGATCAATTAAAGAATGGATTTTTAGGTGTTGAGGAGAACAATGCAACATTTAAAATCATAGCAAAAGATATTCAATCTGAAGAGGTAAAGATATTCAAATTGAAGAGGTAAGTAACTTGTAAACCCAATCCTCCTTCCTTCTTCGGTGATTTACAATAGTTAATAAAAAAGATAACTTGTAATAAAACTCAAGCTAAACACCTCATGTTTCTATCTTATATTAGGAATCAAGTGTAGCACTATCACAAGAGCAGAGCAACACAGAGAAAACAGCTAATAATCTGGTACTGGGTAGGTTTGAAGTGGTTTCTTGTGGAAACTTCAAACTTGTACTTATACCTGTTGATGCAGGCTCGGCTCGGCAATAATCTGGAAGCTGCAGACTGATGAATGAACACCATGGTTCACTTTTTTTTATGAAAATGTAAAAGCCAAATTCTCAAGCTATTGGAAGATACAACATACTCTCACTATCCCCTTACCCTATAAATACTTTGTAAGACAGTAAGAGTATACCTGAAGTATAATACTTCCACAGTAAAAGTAAGTGTAGTTCCTGCAGGTTCAAAGTTGTAGTCCCATGAAATTGTCTCCGGGATTCTTGTCCTGATTTCTGCATAAATGCAAGCATCAAGCAAATCAACAGGCCTAGAAAACATAGAAAATTAATGAGTTTACAGCAAAGGGGTGAAGTCATAGGTGCTAAGTGTTAGTACAGATATTAAGTGGATCATGCAGATTATTATGTATCCAAATTGCACAACAAAGTATGGTAAAAGTTGTGATTATAAATAGCATGGAAACATACTTGATAAGCAGCGGCATATCAGGTCCTGGATATTGAATCTCAAAAACACCTGAACGTCCAGAGCAGAATATTTGTTTAAACAGTCAACAAACAGCCCCAAACCAAGTCGACGCCATCCTTTGGCATTGTGTTCACAGTGAATAAAAAGATAGAAAAGTGTCAAAACATATGAAATTAGATGCTTAAATTGATTATTAAACAGAGAAATCAAGCTCGAGTCACCCAAAATGATATTTAACAAAGATTCAACTCAAAAGCTACAGTGAAACTATGAGCACCTCCCTTTGAAGATAAACTTTGGCTTCAATACAACCCCGTGCTCCGATCGTTCGACTACGGCATCCTTTAATTACAAATTTACAGAGAAAACCGGAAAAAAAAAAAACCCTTAGAATATTAGAGAGAAATAATGGAATTGGAAAGGAGCGCACACAGCTGCCACAGCAGATCCGATGCCTCTGGTTCAAGCACCGGCGACGAGCTCTTCCCTCTCCCCTTCCGCGCCAATTTCCCTCTCAAACCCAATTCAAATTAAAGCTCAACCAAACCCAGTACCCAGTACCCAGTACAAATTAAAGCTCAATCAAACCCGAGAAAACCAAAGCAGCAAAATTAAGCTTCAGAATCAGCTCAAACAAACTAGCAAACCTTAAAACTGAAACCAAAAAAATAAAACCAATCACGGCAGGAAGTAGTCAAGGCGGACGAGATTCTTTGGTAAGAAA